AGGATCAGGATGTAATGCTTTGTGGCCACGCCGCACTTGGAGAGAGCATTTGGAATTAGTGAGAAACGTAAGCGAGCGAATCGGAGGCCCCGGAGCACTCCTCCGGACCAATCAGAAGATCAGACGTAAGAAGGGTGTATACGGAGTAGAAAAGGGGTGTACACCGAGTAAATATAGGGTGTACATTTAGCAGCGCCCTTCTTTAAACAGAATGCGCTACGTACTATATCATAGACATTTTTCGTTTGTGTTGTGGATTGCTGCTAGTCTTCATTATTATAGAAGCCTATTTCTGCAGCATTATACAGTCATGGCGTTGCTCATCATTTGAAAGTGACTTCACCATCACCCTTGCTAAACGAGGCCCTTACGCCATAAAGATTTTCTGGTGCAATATTTCGATGCCAACATGGGTATTTGTTGGTGTATATTTTTCATACTACGATGGTTTTCTGTCGAGCACTTGAATCTTCCTTTCATCAAGCTTCCTGATATATATGTGATATACAAAAGGTTCCACAGCGCGTGCTGCACCGGAAAACATCGGCATGGGGTGCATTTACGAACGCGGCGCGCGCTACACGTGCAGCATGTGATCACAATAATTCGAATCTTTCGAGGATAAATAGAGGCAGAGAACGCGCATCAACTTTCTTTCTCCCACTGTTTAGCAAACCCGACACCGCCCACCACCGCTGAACCACTCATAATTACATACCCCTTCAGAGAGCCTCGAGCTCTCTACAATCTCGCTCGCTCGCTCGCAGGTAATTCACCAGTCTCTCAGCGTGTTCCAAAGCAACACCGTGGCGTATATCCACCACTATTCCTGCTCCCTCAAGCCAGCTCCCACATTCCAAACCGCAACACCTCCACACCAGTCCTACTCTTCCATCGCCACCATTCTCTGCCCACTACACACAACTCTTTAACCTGACAGCATCACAAAGCTTGTCATTAACACCAGTGAAGCAAACTTTCGTATTACGTATCGAACATGACTTCCAAGCGGAAGGCAGGAAACATCGAAAACGAGCTCTCTATCGAGCAGCTCCGAGATCGGCCCCTAAAAAGGACCAGAATCGCCCGGGGCGAGGGGCCAGCAGCATCTCGAGCTCTTCACGACCTGCCGCTCAACGTCTTTGGCGGACCGCATGGGGCTCAGCACAGCCCCGTTTACACCAACAAATACCTAGATGCGTGCATAGCTTCCACAACTTCCAACGGTCAGCCCGTCACTAAAGCGGCGGAAGTATCTAGGAATACTTCGAAGTCTAGGAAGTCAAAGGAGAAGGATGGCCAGCTGCCAGATATCACTCAAGGTCAGCTTGGCCAAGGAACTCATCAAATTCCCGTCGCACAAGGTGTTGGCTCCAATCCACTTCCACCACCGAATAGCAAGGCTGCCCAAGACGGCTTTCCAGCTTTTGAGCGCCACTTCCGAGACAGCGAGACTGCGCATCAATGGCGGAACTCACGAACGAGGGCACCGTTTATTCACCCAAACAACGATCCGACTATCCCAATAGTCAAGGCCGACCTGCTCCTCTGGGTCGAGATGTTGTACAAAATGATCATCAACCGAGACGATGTCCGGGATCACGTCAATAGCGACAAATACAAGGCGTATGCTCGTCTTGCTCAAACAACATCTGAGAACATTGAGGCCGCCTGCCACAATTTAATGGTGAGATACTCTCCAAGGAAGACAATCAAAACGTTAGCTGACCTTCAGACAGCTGGAAGTACTCAACCTTTGCGACAAGGGTTTTCAGCTCGCAGATCCGAAACTCGACTTGGCGAAGCCAGGGAGCTGGTCTACGATGAGTTCAGACGCGGTTGAAAACATGGGAGACCAGGATCTCCAGTGCTTCATGCGCATGGTTAAGATTTGCTTTGCTCTTAAGGTATGTAAAGTCATTCTACTCACACGTGTCTTGGTGCCTTTCGTTAATACTCTTTCTAGCATGAGAAAACCATTTGCGCTGAAGTGATGAGCGGATGTTTCGGGGATCGGTGGGTCAGACAATTCGTGAACGCCCCCATCGAATGGCGCCGTGTAAGTGGGCCACTTTAACATATCCAGTATACAATGGCTAATCATCTGTATAGCGCAAAGGCAATAACCGACGGAACAACGATAGCAAACCACAGCGAGCAGTGAGAAAAGCTGAGGAAAACCTGAAGCGTGCTGCCAAGAAAGCAGAAAAGCACGCAGCGGCTGAGTTGGAACAAGAAGTCAGCAACGACGATCCAGGGAATACGAGTGCGACGAAGATAGGCAACACGAAGGCGGAGAAGCAGGCCGAGCCATCGATGACTGCGGTGTTTCAAGAAGCATACGGCCTCGGAATCACCATTCCAGACCTCTACCTTGGACTTCTGGTGGAGGTAGATGCAACCCAAGAGCCAGATGCTTCCCAGCAGCTGCCAGTGACTGCTCTCCCTTCGGATATTAGCCTTTCTGATCCAGTGGCTCAGCAGAGTCCACCAACACAACAGCTGCCAGCGGCTCATCTCCCACCTATTGGCTACCTCGCCGCTCCAGAGAATCGGCAGCAGATGACCCGTAGATATGGGCGGGGACAATCAACTATAAATGCTCTGCGAGAGGCTCCAGAAGCTCCGTACCCAACAGACCTTCGAGAAACTTCGAACAAGAGAGCGAGGAAGCCGAAGGTTCAAGTAGAACAGGGAGCGTCTCGTTCAAGCGGACGTCTTGATGTTCCAGTTGCCCCCTCTTCCCATGACCTTTCTGGTGAGACTGCTACGGGCCAGTTCCAGTCGGCTGGTTTCTCCTCTATCCAGCCTCAAGTCCCCACCATGGGCCCCCAGTTTCGGCAGCAGATTGGATCCGAAGGCCCATTCCAGTCTGCCGACTTCTTTGATTGATTCCCAGTTCCCACTCCCGGCCACGACCTTCAGCAGCAGCTTGAGCGGCTCAATCAGATCCAATCCGCTGGTGCTTTCCCGAGCCAACTCCAAGCTCCCATTCTGAGCAATATTATACCTTCTGAGGGTCACCAGCCATCCGTTAGTCAGCCATGTGTCGAACTGGAACATATCTTTGGAGTAAATGGGCAGGATCAGCAGATGCACAACGCCTTCGAGAGTCAGCCCTGGAGCTCTCCTTATGTCGACGAGTTTGCTTTTGGGGCAAACCCCTTCGCCGACAACGACACTATAGACCCGAGCTGGCTGACATATCCGGCAAACATGAAGTTATAAGGAAGCACGACGAAGGATCCGTATTCAACGTGTCATATCTCCGATTGCACTTTTCTGGTTTCTCTCTTGGCGGTACGTTACGATATCTCACGTGACATGACTATGGTCTTTCGGTGTTACGGCAATGCTTTCTAATAGAGGTATACCCAAAGATTAAATAAAAAGCGTTTCAGGTATGGAAATTCCTTTTGATGGCTCGGAAATTTGGGATTTCGGTTCTTCTTTCTTTTGCTTTCAAGTTCTACATAGCTGCTAGAGGTATTCCCGGACGCCGACATACCCATGTGTAGACATGATCTTGTGGTAAGATTAGCTACTTCGAGAATAGCTCCTGCGATCAACTAGATTTACCATGGTTGAGGTGCTCTTCTATCGTGACAACACGGGATCCAGCACATATCTCGCAGTGAAATTAATACGACCAGAAACTCCGTTAACGCAGATTGACTTGCGAGAAGTTTGCCTTGCGACTGAATCAACTTGGAAGATAATTTTCATAGATGGCTTCTAAGGGGAGGAAGACTGGAAAGGACGGAGATGAGATCTCGGTTGAGCACTACCAGAGCCTGCCTGGCTCGAAGTCTCGAAAGACGCAAGGGTGAGATGTCGGCATCGTCCCGAGCTCTGCATGAGGTATCCTCCAACGTCTACACCGCACGGCGTGGTACTCAACAAGCTATCTATTATGGCAAAAAGCTCTTAGAGAACATGGACCTGGAAATTTGCCCCACAGTTGTCGGATGTTCATAAGAATAGGTTCACAGTATGGCAATATGGCTGAGTTGGAGCGTATTGCCAAAACGGTGATCTCAATGACTCATAATAAACGCCCATATAGCATATAATCCGCAGAGTTCCAGCTTTTCAACAAGCCTCCCAAACTCCTCCCCCATAGATTAGCCGCATTGTTGGTATCCGAAGAGAAAGGGGAGCTATAAAGCTACATATTGACGTTCGCTGGCCAACTAGGTAATGTTTGAGTATGCTGAGAAGGGCTGTTTTCGTCAATCCGCAGTCCGAGCATCTCTCTCTCATTCGCGAAGAGGATGCTATCCGTGTTCCCCGTAAAGCCACCTTCAATCGGAGTGTTGGGTTGCTCTTGATGAACCAGATTGAACACACCTTCTGACGAAATTATGCTTGCCCGCTGCTTATTGGACTGTGCGAGCTGTACACTTAGGCGCCGCATGGGAGCGATGGGCCGCGCTGTGGACAGACGTTGAGAGCTTGTAGGACCATTGCCCGCCTTGTGTTTAGATGGAACCCCGCGTATCGAAGACTGTGGTTGAGGTGCCGGTTGCGGTTCGACTAAAGAAGCAAACAGGTCCCATCCAGCATCAGTTGCCATTTGGACCAATTTTGCCAGGAGTTTACGCGCCGCGTCATAAGTGCCAGTGTTAGCATTTAGAAAGTTGGTGAGATATCGAAGGTGGAGCTGGAGCTGGTGACGATCATTGCGAGGCTCTTTCGAGCTGAGTATTGAGATGAAGATAGTGGCTGCGGCGGCCGCGTGTTGCACTTATTCAAAGTCAGCAGGCTCAATATGAAAGCGATTGTAGGAGTCGATGTAAAATGTGCGAGAAAGCGTTTACCTGCAGTAGCGAAGATCGTCTTCACGGAATAGCGCTCCTCATGTGATTTCAAGATTTCCGTCAGGCGAATGGCATTCTTGAGGCAGAGTTTCCGGGGAACATCGAAGAGCATTTTCACTTCTTCGCTGCCGAGGCTATCCTTATCTTCTCTGGATACATTACTGGGAGTCGATTTCTCGGAGAAGGCAAAAGCGCGATGGAGAAGAATTATGGTTGCGTGATATTGCTGACTGGGTAGGGAAGTTAGTCCAAATGCACCCGAACCTTATGGAGCAACTTACTAAAGGCTGTAGAAACTCGATGGCGCATTCTGCAGATTCTCTGGGGTCCATCTGAGAGTCTTGGGTAAGCTGTCGTACCAGTTGATCAGCTCTTTGTACATGTAAGTTATCACCAAGTAGCTGCTGTGATCCCTGCCGGAGGCCTCCAATTCAACGTGGTCAGTCATCTCCACGGATAGATTGATCAGCTCCAGTAATGCTGCATAGATCTCCGTGGCCAAGTCATTTGATACTGCCTCTAGGCCACGAGGTAGTTCTGATAACTTCGTTGGTTTCCTTAGGGAAAGCTTCGAGCTTTTGATTTTCGTCGGTCGTCCGGTGAAAAGGGCCCAGAACCTAGGTGTATCAGTTCTGTCTTGAGTTTGAAGGAGGAAACCTTACTCGTCGTATACGATACAAGCCTATACTACCATATGATGCATGTGCACCACTTCTTCTGAAAGCTTTGACTCTGAACGCTCCTGGTGAAGCCCGATATCGAAACATAGTCGAGACGCCAAGCCTGGGTATGTTAGGCCTTTACTGGAGCCAGCATTCTTTGAAATGATTGAGGAAACTGACCAGCATACATCCATCCACTATTATACCTTCCAACGCCAAATTTGAGGTCCCCAAGAAGCAGAAGGGCTTGGATTGCGGGAACATCGCATCGGCCTTCCGCCTCATATCTTGCAATCCACAAAGCTTTCTGATGAATGACGGACTCGGAAGCATCACCAATAAACTCCTGGATTCCAGGATCACTTTTGTCGGCATACCGTAGTCCGATAGCGAGGATGCAGACATGAAGAAAAGCTGAGTAGCGTCTCGCGTCACCCGTGCGCAGACCTCCATAGAACATCGACTTCTGAACAGACTACAATTCTGAGTTGTAGTGCACCCAGAAGTTGTTCATTAATGTGTCATGCACGTCTGGCGGCATGGAAACAATAAACTGTTGCAGCTCTTCGTCTTGGCTCGGGCTGTGCGCGTTATCGACTACTGATCCAAGACCCAAAGGACTCATCATGGTTTGATGTGTTCGCACGTGGTCACCATCGAAGGTCTTCGGTGAAGTTCCCTGGGTCTTTTGGATGGCTGGCTGATTCCGAATATTCAGGTCGTCCGGTGCTGCTAAGTTCTGGAGGAGACCTCTGATTTCACTGTCGCTCCGGCCAGTATCTGCAAACGCCGCGCCGGAAGATGATTGAAATGGGGTACCTCCTCCTGGTTCTGAAGTAGTGGCCCTATATGTGCTTGGGACCTCGTTGAAGCTGAAGTCGATGAAACCTAGCGGGTTGGTCTGATCTCGCAATTGCCCACCACCTATATTTGCTTGCCTTACAAACTCCTAGACCTCTTCACGAGACTTGCAGACTTCAAAGATGTATGTGATATCTTCTGCATTGCTCTAACAACTGTACGATCCTATCTACAATGGCGCCGACTCATCTCCTATCCCCCTGATCAAAGTGAACTTCGCCGCATCTACCTTGATCGCATTTCCCACAATCTTTTTCGTCAGCGCAGATACTGGTTCCAATGCCTTTGGTCTATCTCCAGGTAACCCGTCCGCCTCAAATTCGTGTATCGCGAGCCAGTTCGGGGTCACCTCTGTGTTCGTGGTGCCTTTATCCCCTACTTGGAAAATGAGCTCGAACCGCGTACTCCGAATCCAGCCGGGTTCGTTCGAGACCTTCTCGAGATGTTCTTCGCGGTACCACCTATCAAGCTCTTCTTCCATGCCTTCTGCAGGCTGGATAGCCGCCGAGTTGATGTTAACGCCGCGTCCTAGGGGTATCAGCACAATACTATGCCCAATTTCCCATTGAGAAGCAGACATACCAGGCCTCGTCTTCCCCTCCTTCTCAAACACCTGGATCTTCTTATAGTATCGCGTATCGAAGTTCACAAACTTGAGGATCGGCCCGCCTTCCGGCAGCATCTCGTGGCCCATAGGGACGGCCCTAAACTGGTCTGTCTGTAGAACTCCCATATCCGGGATGCTGTAGAGCGCAAGGTATGGCGCTGGTCTCTCGGGATTTGCGCATTGGTATCGCCATGCTGCTAGAACACCACCCTTCTTGGCTGCGATTATGTCGCGGATATGCACTTCTTCGTACCAGGTCTTGAAGAGCTCGGGAGAAAGCTTATCTGGGGCTGTGATCTTGGAGTTGACCCAGAGAATGCCGGGGCCTGAGAGGGGAGGACCGGAGTAGACAGTGCGAGTTGGGCTCGCCATTTGGAATTGCTAATAAAAGTAGATAGCAAGCTAGAACCCGGAGATCTGTATGTCCTAAGAAAGGCTTGGATTACGTGGGAGCGAAAGGACAGTACCTCGAGATCAGCAACGAATGAGAAACACTAGTAAGACGAGGCTTCTCTACAATTATGTGTTTTTGAGCGCCATATGCAAGTAGAAGTCGGTGTATACCGGAAAGAAATTGTGTTTATAAGGTCCGGCAATTCTACTCCGTCTGTCGCGTGTGAGCGCGTAACGACCGGCCACTACGGCACTGGGAAATGCCACTACTGTGTGGGGCAGAAGACCCCGCAGTGATGCTCCAATCTGCATTAGCTGATATGCAGGGACGAGTGAAAGTGGGTGCTTCGGCCGAGTTCAAACTGCTTCACTCATTTGGATGTTTACTCGGACTTAATGGGAATAGAATCGTGGACGAGTCATTTTCGGGTCTGCTGTGCAACATTGAGACTTTGTGACCACATACGAACTATCCAAAAAGCACTTTGGTCGTGTCGTAGGTGTATTCTAGGTCCAAGTGCCAATAATCCGGCGCTTGTGCTTTCGATATCTGCCATTCATCATTCAGAGCTTTCACCACCTCTTCAGGAAGCGGTCCTTTATCGAAAAGCGGCAAAGTGGACTTAAATTGCTCAAGACTGCTCGCTCCAGTAAGAATGCCACTGTTCACATAAGTTAGTTATGCGACTGCATGCGGTTCATTTGTATGTCACTTACTCATTTCCGCCTTTTGAACGCATTTTGAGAGCACTGTGATGTACGAGCCAGCGGATAGCAGTCTCTACCAACGTCAGGCCGTGCTTTTGGACTATTGGTTCAACCAAACTGAGTGCTTCGAGAGATGCATCTCGTAAGTACCGCGCGCGGTACGTCTTGTCGACGTGGGTAAGGTCTTTCGGAGCTTCAGTATTCTTTGCGTTGTATTTTCCGGTAAACAGACCCCCAGCAAGGCCGTTGTAGACCAAAATATCAATTCCGTATCGCCTCAGGGCGGGGACAAGTTCGGCCTCCATTCCTCTCGCTAGCTGAAGTCAGTATAGGCTAGGTGGGGTGGGATCATAGGACTTACTAAAAGCATTATACATGGCCTGGTAAACTGTTGGCCGCACCCAGCCATTTGCATGGCATGTAAGAACCACTTCCGCGACCTCGAATGAAGTGAAATTGCTGATGCCGAATTGGCGGAACTTTCCCTCTTTGTACATATCATTTACTTCCTGCAACGATTCGGCGAAAGGTGTACTACGATCGGCTGCATGAAGGTAGAAGGTGTCTATGCTGTCTGTCTGGAGTTCTCGAAGTGACGTCTCAACCGCTTCACGTAGGCTCTTAGGGCTATGCATTCCACCTTTGACTGGGTAAAGCTATTTACTTCTACGTCAGCACAGTTACAGAGCTTATAACACAAAGTTCTCTTACCTTTGTGGCAAGCTTCAGGTTACGCTTCTTCCAGCCAACCTGCGCAGTGAACCCTTCTTGTTCACCATGCTGATACATGCAAGCTGTATCCACCTCATCATACCCCATTGACTGAAAGTAGTCCAAGAAGCGTCCATATTCGTCGAGAGAAGTTGTCTTTGCACCCCACGCTTTATTCTACATCCAGATTGTTGGTCATCCCGCCGTATATCGTAACGTAGATGTTCTTACTGGGCCAAATGTCATCACTGGTCCAATTAGTGACGTTAAGGTATTCGAGAGAAGTATCTTTCACTTACGACCCAATACGACTCTGTTCTTCTGCAGTTCAGCCATTGCCACTTGTGACCCCGGTGAACTTGATATTGCTGATGATTTCGTGTCTCGCCTAGTCTGCGTACCGTTCGTTGACACGCGTTGCTGGAAGACATGACGGCACAGCGTGGTAGACTTCGCGGCTGGATGCAACGCGCAAATGCATTTCCTTTGGAGCCGGCTGGCGTCTGCGGATAGCCCGGGATGTTTGCAATGGTCTGGTGGATCTCCACATGGTCCACGTAGGAGACTCGAGACTCCGTCCCCAAAACTCGTCGGGTCGCGATTCCGCGAGGTCACAGCGTTCTCTCGGCTCAGTTTCTCCCCTTTCCAACCACTACCAGTACATGGATCCTGAGATACCCACATCCCGCACTCAAAAGCTGAAAACACCTTTCCAGAAACACTTTAACTCCCGAAAAGGCCCCTAAAAATTGGTCTCAGGACAGCTTGCCCCGCCAAGACGCTCCTGTGACGCCCCCTCAACCACGGTGCGGGGTAGGGTTATCCGCAGTAGTCGTCCCACTCTAGACTTTCCATTCGATAAACATTTTCCGTCCTCGTGTCGTTGCCTTACTATCCGATCTCAGGACGCGTTCCCCAGCGTAACAGACGCTTATTGCTCGGATGGCTACAGCAATAATGGCTGCTAGCCCTGCCGTCCAGATTCGTGCGTCAGTCGGGCTCTATATATCCAATACGTAGCTCCCACTGTGGTCAATACTCTCTCCCCTTTTTTTCCTTGCCTCAAAATCCTCTTCAACATCAAACATGTCGCCCTCAAGAGACACGAAGCGCGCGGTGCGCATCGCCGGATGCTCTGGCGGCTTCACTGATCGAGCTCTGGCTATTACGCGGATGGCTGGTGACCCAGATGTTGACGTTGTCATCGGAGACTGGCTGTCGGAGATGACCATGACTCTACATGGATCTGGCAAGCAGAAGAAGCTGGCAAAGGGCGAGTCCCAAAAACTACCCCTTGAGGAGCGCATGAAAGGTGCCATGTATGCGGACACCTTCCTACAATGCTTTGAACCGGCCATCCCGAACCTCGTCAAGAATGGAACCAAGCTAGCTGTCAATGCTGGCGCCAGCGACACCGAGCTTCTTGCAGAAGTCTGCGTTAAGATGTTGAACGACCAAAACGCCGGTCATTTGAAGGTATCGTGGATCGAGGGTGACGAGGTGACCCCCCAAGTGAACAAACTTATTGCAAAGGGCGAGAAGTTCGAGAGCTTGATGCACGGCAAGAAGCTTGAGGAGTGGGGAATGGAGCCCGTGTGCGCGCAAGCTTACCTCGGAGGTCTCTGCATTGCTGAAGCTTTCCGGGATGGTGCGGACATCGTCATCTGTGGTCGAGTTGCTGATGCTGCTCCTGTCATCGGTGCTGCTGCGTAGGTGCACTATTTTTGCATCACTCGAGTTTCAACTGACGCTCTCTCCAGATGGTGGCATGACTGGAAGGTGGATCAGTATGATGGGCTCGCAGCTAGTCTCATCGCCGGTCACTTGATCGAGTGTTCAGCCTACGTTACCGGTGGTTATTACTCCATGTTCAAGGACCTTATCAAGGCTAACAAGCACGTCAATATGGGATTTCCTATTGCGGAGATAGAGTCTCACGGAGACTTTAACCTCGCCAAGGAAAAGGACACTGGAGGGTGCATGACTGTGGCGTCGGCGACTTCGCAACTTCTCTACGAGATCCAGGGTCCTTTGTACTACAACTGCGACGTGGTAGCTGATATAACCAACATTAAGATGGAGCAAATAGGGGAGGACCATGTACGCGTGACGGGCATCAAGGGTTCGTCCAATCACCACTCCCGTGTCATTCCTTAATTAACATAATAACAGGTCTTCCTCCACCACCCACCACAAAGATCGGCATCACTGCCCCTGCCGGCTGGCAATGCGAATGGCACATGTTTATCTGCGGCCTCGACATTGAAGAAAAGTGTAAAATCACCGAAGGTCAAATCCGCTACGCTATGGGCGAGGAGAATATCAAGCGCTTCACCTGCCTCAACTTCCACCAGAATGGCTCTTCCGTCATCGACGGCCGCAACCAAGACGTCGCAACCGTCGACTTCCGCATCTTCGCCCAAAGCAACGACCCTGAGCTTCTCCGCCCCGATATCCCCAACGCCTTCAACCGATGGTGTCTTGAGGTCTTCCTCCAGAGCGCGCCTGGTCTCTCGCTCAGCAACGATCTACGCCAGATCGTGCCGAAGCCGTACTACGAATACTGGGTCGCCTTGATGCCGCAGTCAGAGATCAATCTGAATGTGCATAACTTGTTCGGCGAGAAAACGGTCAGGAACCTAGGTTTCCCCAAGGTCACCAAGGAGTACCCCCGCCAACAAACCTCCTATGAAACCTCGAACCCCGTATCCCTCGACTCCTTTGGCGAGACCGTCCGCGCACCCCTGGGCTACATCGTCGCTGGGCGCTCTGGCGACAAGGCCTCCGACTGCAACGTTGGCTTCTTCGTGCGACACGATGACGAGTGGGACTGGCTGCGAAGCTTCCTGACCATCGACCGGATCAAGGAGCTGCTTGGGCCGCAGGAGTACAAGGGCAAGCCGATTGATCGGTTTGAGCTGCCAAATATCAACGCGGTGCATTTCTTGCTGCATGATCATCTGGATAGGGGGTATAATGCTTGCTCGACCTATGATACGCTGGGGAAGAATGCGGGCGAGTATATGAGGGCGAAAACGATTGATATGCCGAAGAAATTTTTGGATAGGGGTCGGATTTAGGATGTTGTAATAATTATTTTCTATTTTGGGGCTTGACTCTTGTACTCGATAGGCGTTTCGTTGCGAAAACTTCGTCATTCAGTTCAAATTTCTGTCTTCTACAAGCAGCTCCTAGATCATATGAACGTCGTATGACCACCGCATCGAACGGTTCCTTTATTTTGCTCTAACAAATCCAACGCCGTCTATCCTTAATTCCAGTCTACAAGTGTTGAACAAGAGCTAAAGCGAACTTATCGTTCGAAGTTGAATCTCGATGAAGAGACCTTCATAACGCCACCTCACTCCTCAGGATCCAAATCCACATCAGGCCCATACTCCTCCACAACCCACGCACAAAACCGCTCCCACTTCCTCGTCCACTCCTTCAACCGTTTCGCCCTCTCCCCCTTCCCTAACATGCCATCCTTGATCTCAGCTTGCCACTCCTTATTACTCAGGTCTTCATAGCTTGCCCACCTCACACTGTTCTCCGCAAGACTTCCCAACCCCGCCAACCCCAGATTCTCCCACCCCTGCAGCGCCTGCCAGAAGTCATGGCTCATACCCATAGCCCCCTGTCCCAGGATCGTCGGATCATCATTACACAAAGCCACCGGGACACCCCTCGCCAACAGCGCCGGTAGCGGGTGGGACATGATACTGGCCGTCAATCTCAGCACCTCGTTGCTTACCGGACAGCTCTCGACCAGGATCTTCTTCTCTTTGACCATGTCGATGAGTAAGGGATGTTTGTAGAGGGAGAAGCCGTGACCGATGCGGCGTGTGCCGAGGGCGACGGCATCGAAGAGGTTTTCGTCAACGCTGTCGCCGTCGCCGAGGGTTTCGCCGGCGTGGAAAAAGAAGGGAATGCTCAGGCCTTCTTCGGCGCAGCGCTTTTGGAACCAGAAGAGGAGGGGGGAGAGGGAGGAGAGGGAGCGGCCGAGGTCTTCTTGGCCGACGAGGTCGTAGCCGCAGATTAGGTGAGGGAAGGTGGCTTTCATTTCGAGGCATTGTTTCATGCCTGGGAGGGGTTAGTGAGTGGTTGGTGGGAGCGAGAGAATTGGTAGTGGAATAGATGTGAAGGAAGCGAAGATGAAAGTACGGAAGTAATGTTTACCTTCGACGATGCCACGGTTGTCGAATTGCCGCACAGTCGTCCATATCATGCGTGCTCCCCAGAAGTCTTTCCCTTCTTCTGACGCCTTGAACTTCTCGATCTCATCATCCATGTGATCGAGGTAGTTGAAGTAATCGGGGTCCCATTCTTCGCTCTCCAGACTCCTGTATGGAGTATAAAAGGCCGATCGCATGTCGACATAGTAGACTCCGTCATCCACAAGCTGCTTGCACATCTTCCTGATAAACTTCCGGAATATTGGCTCATAGTAGATCAGGCTGCCGAGAATTGGGAAACAAGACAGGAACTTCCGCCAGATTTCGTTGGCTCCTTCGTGGTGCTTGAGACTCTCCTGTGCAGTGATGGTGCAGCGTGACTTGACGAAGTCTAGGAAGCCTTTACGCCCTGTTCCTGGAAAGCTGTCGGCAGCTGCAGCAATTGGAATCACTGCACCGGTGGTGTACGAGTCAATCCAGATCGAAGCACCTTCAGCGGTCGTAGTTTTTGCATATGTGAAAGAGAAAGGGGTCTTTAATCGTGCAGCTTCTGTGGACAGATGCCCCGAGCTTGTGATACAGACACCTTCGGTCGCGAAGGCTTCCTCCAACACCCAGTCCAGATCCATCATGGCTTCGAGATGACAATGAAGGAGAGTGCCCTTGGGCATCTTTCGAATTATCTTCCATAGCTTACTCCTTTCCATTCGGTTTTTGGCAAGGGAGAACATCATGCCTGGGAAAACATCTCCATCCTGGGATAAGCTGTCTTCGTACTCTCGAGTCCAAAGTGTTTGCTGTTCCTCGAATCTGATCTGGTCAACAATAGCACACGCTTCAGTGCTCATTGGAGATAGATTCTCGCGAAAGACGCGGTCTGGAAGCTGTCAGACTAGGACCTTGAACATAGTACTTGAATATTCACCAACCACTTCTTTGCTTCTTCTCCTGTGCTACGAGAGCATCGCGTCCCTCGAGGTACTTTTGAATGAATGGATCAGTCAGACTCGGGATGCCTTCCTCCTTCTCCCACGCTGCGTCATCGCTGGCTGAGGTCGACGGAGCCATCTGGTGAATTTATATTACAAAGCAGTACGGCAAAAGATGAAGGAAAGGTGTGAAGAGAGGGAAAAGACTACCAGGCAACTCTCTGGGCTTACTAGTTGACCTTCTATTATGGGTTGGTGTTTCTTACATGCTCTTGGCGAGGGGCAGGGTGGGTGTCTTTGGCGGGGCTTACCGGTTCTGGGCACGTGCCGGACCTCATCATCACGCCCGCTGGCAGTTCACTACTCGCAGCAAACCCTCTTCGAGCGCGCCATCTTTCCCTGTGACCCCCGCGTCCACGAGTGGCTGCATGCCACATCCCACACTATCCTACGACTCTCCCAGCTCTCTCAATTACGCCCTTGTTCTGTCTCTGCAAATAGACCTCCACCGTGTGCCGGACCACCTCGCTACCATACTTTCTGATCTTTTAATTCTTAACTTTACCTCGTCATCCTCTTACACTCATCTGAGTCCTCCACCTTCACCTGACCCCCAACATCCCTCCTCTGCTGCATGAGAGCATCTCTTATGGATCCCACCCTCATGCTCCCGTAGTCCAAAGCTCGGCCGGTACTCCTACGTTCGCCTCAGCCATGGCTTTCTTTACCACCATATCTTCGTCCATAGGGAAGAGGATACTCCTCTACGCGCTCCGCCATGCAGATATACTCGACAAGGACCCCTCGGACTTCGTCGACGTCGCTGTGGGCAAGCGGACAACTCTGGAGGTTCGCGATGTGGGATTGCGTGTCAAGGTCGGTATCCGTCCGTATCCACTTTCACTATCCCCCTACTGACTTGGGTCTACAGAAACTGATAACACTTCTCAACCTGAACCTCCCCCAAGAATTACATCTCTCGAAAGCCCGCGTATCCCACCTTCGAGTTACACTGGCCTGGGAAGCTGGTAGTCCTCGCATACTTATTGAGATTGAAGGAGTCCAAGTACAGGCTAGATTGGCTCCAGATGTACCGGAACCATCTGGGAAATCCAAGGCTGGAGCAAAACCGGGACCAAGATCAGCCCCCAATACTAGCGCTCAAGCGCCGCCACAGGACGGGCCCCGCCAACGTAAGGCGTTGGCCGATTCCACAAGCACCTTTTCGTCCGACGATGAGGACGAGTACATACCCACTGCGGAAGAGTTGGCAAAATCTTTTCTAAGAGAGGAACCTGCCGAGGAGATCAAAGAGCTCGAGGAAGCGCTGAACACCCAGTCCGAATACCTACAAGAGTCTGTGATGTCTAGCGAAGATGGAGATGATGAAAGCGAGGTTGGAATGGGCACGGGAATAGGTTTACCAGTCATGCTCAAGAACTACATCGTTGGAGCTTTGGATAGACTGGAGATTACCGCGAAGGACATCGATATCCAAATTGATGGAGACTTGCCACCGGAATCAGCCAGCGAGTCGAACGATGACGAACTATCCTCTGTTGCGATCAACCTTCACGTCGAACAAGTCTCTATTGACGGAGTGGCGTCCGGCGATCCAGAAGTAAAGGCGACTCCGGTACAATCTTCATCTCAACCACCTCCGGTTCTGGATACACGAGACGGAAAACGACGAATGCGAGTAGAGAACATTTGTGCCCGCCTCATATCAGACCCGGAAAGCTTCGCGTCTCTATCTAAAGTGTCGAGGTCCTCCTCGCCGGTAGACACCCGTTCCGATATCTCCATAGGTCAAAAGAGCAACAGCTCGTCCTCTGTCAGTGGTCATTCCTCAGGAATTGCAGAAGATGATCAGCTTCCTAGCGCCAGTGGTAGCCAGTGCCTGGCACAATCTAACCACTCCACACATTCTCGCCGAGAGGAACGACCTTTAGAAGCTTCGATATTGTCAACCGACGAGGACAGATTTGCGGATGCGGCTATTGATGACGACTATGAAGGAAGACGAAGTTACATTGCTGGACTAGAGCAATCGGAAACCCTCGGGCAATCTCGCCAATCTGTTCAAAACTCGCGTTATGACTTTGGGGGCGAAAGTAGCCTGTTCAACGATGATGGTATTATAGACTATGTCGCTAACAACGGTTTTCTGAACTCTCAATATGAGGGGGCTGACGATGGTCCGCCTCCATCGCCGCAGCAACGGCTTTCCTGGGCTCTCGATGGAAATGCTTCCAGCCATGAAATAGAGGCCTCCATTCATGAAAAAGAGGCGCCACAGCGCCTTTCGGCAACGGCCCCTGCTCCTCAAGCACTCTCCTCTAAAGATTCTTACTCAAAACTTCGACCGGTCTCCAGCTCCGAGCCGAATCCTGCCTCGAAAATATTCCCTTCTACCGACAATTTGGACACTGCGAAACACCATGCTCTCGATGCACCTCCGGAAGCACCGCGGCGAGACTCTAGCAGCAGCTCTGGGTCTTCGGTTTCTAGGGAAGACTTGGCACAATCCAAAATGTTTACCCACGAGGAAGCCGAAAGTATGTACCTGAGTGCGATGAGCGCTGCGCCCACCCAAGCAAGCCGGCATTTGAATGTTCCCGGGGGATGGGATTCCTCTTCGACATCAAGTGAGGGCACTGCTCCAGAAGAGCTAAGTTCAGTTCCTCCGGTAATGAGTGCATCGACTATTTTCCCCGTGACTACAGAAGGAGACGATGGATGTGAGACTCCACGCCCTGGAAGCAGAGCAAGTGTTATCGCGGCCGCTATCAGCCCGGCACCGAGAATGGGCACCACCGAAAGCACAGGAAACATATCTGGAACGCCTGCCACGGGCATCGCTAACTCCTCGTTCTCTGGAACCGTCAAAGTTGCTAAACCGTTCTTAAGTATTGACAAAGTCAATGTTTGGTTTCCTCTCGATCTATCCGGTGCCGAAAATTCTGGAATGGGCGAAAGCGCCATGATAGAAGATTCACTCGATCGAATGCAAGCAACAACTGAATTCGGCGATGAGTCTATTTTCCGCGACATGCCAGGATCCTTCTCGTTTTATGCAGAGTCAACCGCTTCAAGGCGTCGAAAGAGCGCTTCGGAAACCACAGAAGCTCGTCGCCCTCCTATGCCTTTAAGACCTTCGAAAACCGATAGGACTCCTCCTACACCCATGCCTGTGCCTCGACGAAGGCGCCACACTGGAGTAGAGGTCGAGGTTGGAACGATCTGTGCACAAGTGGATATTTCCGCGGGTCGTATGATGTTCCAACTTGCTCAGCGCGTCCTAGCCATTCTGGGGCCTCAGAATGTAGAAAGCAACCCGAAACAGAGCCTTCAAGATCAGCCACGATCAAGTTCAGAAAGCTTGATCAAAGTATCCATTGAGCAAGTATCGTTTGCTTGGTTAGAGCGCTTAATTGCTGAGTCGGTCACTGCGGCTAGCCACAGCCAACCCGCTTTCAAGCTTGACAGCAACACAAATGAGGCAATTCTATGGCTCAACTTGAAAGCGTTGCAGATCACTGGTCGAAGTAAGGGCAAGGAGTCTGTCATGAAGCTCAATATTGGAAAGTTCCTGCTGGGATCTCTAAATCAACAAATTATAAGTTTCGATGCCGGGGCAAGGTCGAGGCGATCCGCTCATGCCGGGGATCGTCTGGAACACGATATACAAGTCGAGCTGCGCGAGTCCTCAGATCGCCGACTCCATATGGCAACACGGCCCATAAAAGTTCTTTTCGACCTTCAAAAGCTGGATGACGCCCTGGGTTCGTTTGGAGGCTTCAGTGGTGTCCTTGAACTTGGCAACTCTATTACCTCGAACCAAACAGCGCCACGATCACCATCCCCGCCTCCAACTCAACGGCCTCGCGGTGTTCATTTTGGAGATGCGCCACCACCCGCAGTTATCCCAGACTCTACTTCAGCTCTGAAAGTCAGTATCAAACTTGGTGATGTGTTTTTCCAGCTCAAGGGAAAGACATGTGCTGTTCATATGCAGACAAGTTCCGTCAAAATGGTTGTAAGAGGAAGCAATGTGAGGATCGTGATCTCCGACATCCAGCTCACCGGTCCTTTTCTGGAATTCACCCGAGATGAGCCTCCGTTCATCACCGAGATCAAGGATCTAAACATCACATTTCTGTTCTCTCCAGAGGAAGTGGATTTGACCCGACTGCTTTCAATCATCACGCCATCCAAAGACAAGTATGAGAATGACAGCGATATCCTAATCGATACACTACTTCGACAACGTCGGAAAGGATCTGTCATTCGGGTTAACATCGCAGGCTTAGGCGTCCGCATGTCTGATTTGGGATGTCTTGAAATCTTCCAGGATCTTAGCATTGAACTAGCCCGGCTTTCCACGGTCACGAAGTACCTCCCTGAGGATGATCGACCTGGTATTCTGACCCTGGGCGCAATCAAGCAATTAGAAGGAAGTGTTATGGTCAATGAAAAGATTGGATTTGTCGACCTGAAATGTTACTCGACTCAGTTTGCACACGTGGGGCTTCCTCCGCTATTTGCTGTCGAAATCGGAAAGATCGCACTCAACCACGGGAAAGAAATCTTGATTGACGAGGTTGCTCCGCTCAGGCCACTCGACGAGCTACCTATGATAATGGCACGGATCATTGGAGACGAGATGGAACCTACACTCCGAGTCAAAATGTTCAACTTATGCCTCGAGTATCGGGTTTCGACCATCATGGCTGCTCTTGGTCTGTCTGAGGACGGTACGATCGAGGAAGTGGTAGCGGGAATTGCCTCGTCTGTAGCAACTATCACAGGGAACGCCTCACCGAAGGCTCTAAGCCGGCAGTCTTCTGAATCGACAGAATCCTCCCGCTCCGCAAAGCTGCTACATATCGAGGTTCTGGTTCGGGATTGTGCTCTTGGGCTAAACCCTCGCAAAGTCCCCTCCAAAGGGCTCTTTGTTCTGACTGATACACGTCTTAGTGGACAGTTGCCGAAGAACGAAAAATTGTCTGCTAGTCTTGAGCTCAGGAAAGCATCGATCCTTATTATCGATGATATCGATCGCATCGAGGACACGGCTGATTCTCCTCAATCGACCCCTCACAGTCACCTTCGAAATCAACAGATTACCGATTTAGAACGGAGTGGGTTTGTCTTACTCAGTACCATATCCGCGGCAAAGGCAATGGTGAACATATCTGGCATTGGAGAAGACCAGCAATTGATTGACGTGGAGTTCAAGAATGATCTAGTTGTCTTAGAGACTTGCGCAGATTCTACCCAAACCCTTATCGGAATTCTGAACGGACTAAGCCCCCCAATGCCGCCTAGTACCGCCCAGCGGTACCGGACGGTAGTGCCCTTCCAAACTATGATGGATTCGTTCACGGGAGACGCCTTTGCTACTATTTCTGCCGAAGATGCTGGAGAAGGCTTCTCGATGGATGATGCCGATCACGTCGACGACGAGGTACCAACCAATCTGGAGTACGTCGGGAGCTTCTATAACCCTGACTCTATTCCATCTGGGGAAGATATTGGAGACAGTATGCTTGAAGCCGACGATCTTCACTCTTTAGCAACACCGCCGCCTGTTCGGCAGCGTGGAGCTGGCGTTCTCCTGGAGAGCTTCCAGGAACAATACGAAGTCGCGCAAGGGGAGCAAGATTTCGACTTTGACGACAACTACTTTGGCTCAAATTCCGAGTACCAAGGTACCGCACGCAAATGGGACTCTACCAAGAACCAGTACAAACTGTCGAATGAGTTCAAGGCGTCCAATAGCCCTCTCAAGGTGCGGATACGAGATATGCAGGTCATCTGGAATCTTTTCGATGGCTATGACTGGCCGAAGACGAGAGACACTGTTACAAATGCCGTTGAGAACATCGAGCAGAGAGCTGAAGAACGACGGCAACGACGAGCGGCACGCTTAGAAGAAGACACTCCGAATGTTATGGTTGAAGAAGACTACCTCTTTAACTCGGTTTGGATCAGTATCCCAGTGAACGAGGAAAAGGGAGCCTTGTACAAGAAAATCAATCATGACGTTGACGACCTAGTCAGCGAAACCGGGAGCTATGCTACGACAACGACAGCTTCCCAAGCTACAGCCCGGCAGCGGACAGGGCCTAGGACTAAACGACGGAAACTCAAGCTCGAACGCAGTAAGCACAAGAAGATCACGTTTGAATTACGAGGGATCGACGCCGACCTCGTGATTTATCCTCCTGGTTCAGATGAAACGCAGAGTTCAGTGAACGTTCGCGTTCGGGACTTCGAGATCTTTGACCACGTCCCTAGCTCTACGTGGAGAAAATTTGCGACCTGTTTAATTGAACCTAGCAAACGTGAAATGGACAGACCGATGATCAACCTGGAACTTCTCACTGTAAAGCCTATTCAGGATCTTGCGGCTTCAGAGATTGTCCTAAGAGTGAGCTCATGCTCCCAAATCAATAAACTACTCTGACTAACGCTGCCTAGGTCACTGTCTTACCTCTGCGTCTACACGTTGATCAAGACGCTCTTGACTTCATCACGAGGTTCTTCGAGTTTAAAGACGAAACTGCTACGCCAAGCGGTGCTAAACCCGATATTGCATTCTTACAGCGAGTTGAAGTCGACACCGTGCAGATAAAGCTAGACTATAAGCCGAAGAAAGTCAACTACGCTGGACTTCGCTCTGGACACACAACAGAGTTCATGAACTTCGTCATCCTAGATGAGGCGAACATTGTTCTTCGGCATGCTATTCTTTACGGTATTCCTGGTTTCGATAAGCTGCACGACAGTCTCTCGGCAATATGGACCCCGGATGTCATCAAGAACCAGATCCCCAACATCATCGCTGGTTTGTCAGGCGTGCGGTCACTAGTCAATGTCGGCAGCGGAGTCAAGGATCTCTTTGTTATCCCCGTCCAGGAATACAAGAAGGATGGGCGTATCGTTCGAAGTCTTCAAAAGGGCGCGTTTGCTTTCGGAAAGAACACGACCATCGGAATGGCACGCTTGGGGGCTAAGCTTGCCGTTGGCGCCCAGACAGCACTCGAAGGCATCGAAGGCTTGGTCTCGCCACAAGATGCTGATGCTAGTTCCTCCACTGATAATGGATGGGAGGACCTAGATCCAGACGAAGAGCGAAGGGCGATTTCGCATTATGCGAACCAACCTCTCGGTGTTATGGCTGGGTTCCGAGGCGCGGCACGACATTTCGAACGCGATCTACTGACGGCTCGCGACGCTATCATTGCTATTCCTACAGAAGTCATGGAGAGCGGAAGTGCGAGTGGTGCCGCTAAGGCTGTGTGGAGGCGTGCGCCGACGGTAATCATTCGGCCGGCGCTTGGGACGACCAAGGCAGTCGGTAACGCGCTCTTCGGGCTCAGCAATGCTGCCGATCCTGATAGCAGGCGCAAGCTCGAGGATGTAAGTGTCCGCTTCATAGACTACCTCCTACCGTTACTAACGCATATTCCAGAAATACAAGAGCAGCTATTGAGCCTGCTTCGCCTAGTGCCGGCGATGTACATATCGCGATTATGGCTTGCGGAGGATGGACTCCCCTTGACATCATCTCTATCCTAGTTTTCTCTTTTGCTATTGCTATTACTTCTCTTCGTTTTTCTCCATGCATAGTCGTTACATCCCTCATCAGGGCACCCTGTTCTTTTCTTTTCTTTCATTTTTTCAGTTGCATAGCGATGGTGCCAGGCGTCTCTCTTTTGTGGGGCAGCACACCATATTTTCATAGTAAGACATGCATGGACCACGCCGGCGTTTGGTTACTTAGGGAAGCATTCGGAGTCGTAGCATCGCGGCCGGCGAAGAATATCGAAATGAAAATACCCCTGCTGATTGGTCGGTTTAGGGGGCTAGGCTGGTGTTTCTAGATTGCATAGTGAGAATGGTACGGGAGATGTTGAAGCATCTGTGGCGACGTTTGATATTGTTGGAGGGAGCATATAGCTTGGGTAGATGTTCAATACTAAGACTATGTATACGTACCTTTCCCATAAAGTCAAAAATATTTGCAATCTTACACCTTTAGCTCTTCGATCTATAACAGATGCTGATGGGTAGCAAACAAACGAGCAAAAGGAAAGGCTAGGATAGCAGACGGGGCAATCGCACCATCTAGCCATGCCTTTCCGTATATGGACATGTTTGATAACGCAACTTTCCTAGAGAATGGGTGTGAATTTGTTGGTCTATAACCTTTGGAGTTGAGGCTTAGGACAAACCGATGTCGTCGTGCTGCATTCATGACAAGTAGCACGAGTCGAAATCCGAGATTAGCACACTCGAAATAGCATATCAACATACAAGTCTATGTTCTTTCACCATCCTTTGCGCTGTGGCAGTGTTATACATGAGATACTCACGTGATGAGATATTCTCTAAAAAGGTATGGCGGTATCCGCTATCCTTTCGTCCTCTCTCCCAACCCCCCAAAACATAAAAAAAAATCAACGAAAGTCAGGGCAAGCAGCCACATCGGTATTCGAACTACTGCCCCTCTCCCATGAGCCAGGACAGGCGGTGTCTCTGATGCGGAAGTGGCTCTCGGGTGGTTGTCTGAAGCCGGCGCAAAAGAAACCGACCGAATCTACCACTGCCAAAAGGAAAGAGTTCCGAAGAACAGCATAGTATGTTTGCTAACTAGCAAGCAAGTTTTCATTGGCCACTTTCCTGAGAGTTGCGATAATTTAGTTAGTATATGTATGCTGAGGCCGAGAGATGATCCTTTGCGCACTCCAGCAGCTTTCTTTCAACATTCTTAAGACTTATACAGCACCAAGCCATAAGTTTGGGCATTCCTTGCAACTGCCTGGGGTACCTCGATAGGCTGTCGAAATAATTACCATGTGTAGGCACACTCAGTGGGGATTAGACTATCTTTTGACGAAGCTGTGACTTGCTATCTGGGGTCCTCCTCAAAGTGGTAAGGAGTGAGCAAAAGTGGAGCCGTGTGCCTAAACTTATGACTTAGTCCTGTAGCAATAATACCTACCATTTTCCACGTGTAAAAATACTTTTTTACCATACTCCAGTATCGAACCTCCCTTTCCCTAGCAATGACCACGCAGCAAAAGGAAAGCGTCCACCCGCTAGCGTAGGCAGACGACGGCGAGCTAAGCTGGCCTGAGATGTGCTGCTTGTTTTGTTGCTGCAATAGGTTGGTCGAATGGAGTAGCGGCTTTCTCGAGAGCTGTGTGCGAACTGTTTAGTAGATAGCGTTAGGAAAAAAAAAAATCATTGCATGAATATATTTCTTTCTTTTTGGCATTCTCTCCTTGTTAATGCGTGCTAGAGATTCATGGCGTCTTCTCGCATGCAGCGGTGATATGTCTCAACTTTACACAAATGACGGGAATGTGTACAACCTTCCTGACGCTGCCCCCTTTAGAAAACGAGCAAAAAGACACTGCGCCGCCAAGCAGGCTCCCATCTCGAACCACCATTCCCAACAGCCCAGCCTCCTAGAATCCCAAAACACAAACCAGGGAGCAAAAGGAAAGGATCCCAGAGGGACGGTCTTAATCCAGTCAGAATCTGATTGAGTATTTCGCAACTTTCCTGCCACAGCTTAGAATATTAGTGTTTATATAGTGGTACCTGAGATTAGAAATGGGGGTGGGCTTTGGGATCGCCGCCAGGCAGACGTTGTTGGCGAGGAAGAACAGGGTCATGGCGAAAAGTGGCGCGAGTCCGAAATCGGTCGTCGTTCAAGTGGAATTATTTGAACATGTAGGCTTCAAGCATTGATCGTCTAGAGTCAAGTTTGACGTGTTGGGTGGAAGTCGTGAACGAATGGAGGTATCGTTCTCGTGGTTCATTAGGGTAGAGCCTGGAAGGGGAACATCACAGCTAAGCTTAGAGAAGTGATTCATTATCACCCATGCTTCATTTCTATGAGTAGCGAGCGCTATATATCCCTACAGTCATGGAGCGGGGATTCTGCTTCAATGTCTATGAGTACCGAATGCCCATCTAGCCCTACAGTCAATGAGTTGGGATTTTTCCGTCCCCTTAATAATGCAGCACCAAAGCTACAAGGGGTATGCCCGTCGCAAGCTCGATAGTGCCCTGCTCATAATCGCTTTACGCCTCTCCATGTCCATTGGCCGACTCCTTCCTCTTTTTGAACACGTCCTTCAAACTCCCTCCAATATACACCAGAGATAGTCCTGCCGCCACTGCGCAAATCGCAGCCAGCACAGCACACATATCGCCATAGCCCACCCTCTCTCTCAGGGCACCTGCCAAGAGCGGCCCTAAGGTCAGTCCGCCGCTCCATACCATACTGTTCATCCCATAAAGCTGCGCATACGGCCCACTCTCTCCGAACGCACGGGGGTTCGCTTTCCAATACTTCTCGATGATCGCACCAGCCTCTACGATAGACGGGCTGTTGATGACCGCTAATCCGCAGCCGTTGAGCGCAAGAATAGAGGCGTAGAGCGCAATCTGTCCATTCTTTCCGATCCCGGTCTGACCATCGAGGTCGTTTGGCAGTCGTAGGAGGGTTAGTAAGGGGACCAGATATCCAAATCCGAGAACAGAGATCGGCTTCGTGCCGTAGTGATCTACGGCCCACCCGAAGATAGGGCCGAGGACGAGCTCTGGGGCGGCAAGAGCGAAGAACAGTAGCCCAGCTTTCAGTGAGTCGAAGTCGTAGCGGGTGGAGGCGACGAGCGGGACGGTGGCGTCGAAGGCGCCGAGGAGAATGGCTTGGACGAGGCCGATGAAGAATGCGGTTAGGAGCGCTGGGGAGCGGAGACACATGAGGATGGGGAGCGTGCGGGTGAGGGGGTTGGCTGGAGTGGGGAGAATGTAGGCTGGGTCTAACTCTTCCTCTTCCTCTTCCTCTTCTTCTTCTTCTTCTTCCGCCGGGGATTCAAGGAGCGGTGAGGTCTCAGTTGGTGAAGAGTCGTCGTCTTCGTAATCTTCTGGGATTGTGGAAGGTGATGATGGCGAGGAGTAGTATTTCTCCGCGGTTCTCTTTTCGATTATAAGTAGTCTCATTACGAAATCGATGATGAGAAAGGCGACGCCAACACCGAACACGCCGGCATATCCGGTTTTGGCGTATAGAATCCCTCCTAAGACAGGTGCAAGAAGAGTCGCAACAGATACAGCACTGAAGATCTATGTTTTGGTAGGACGGTAAGTTAGTGTTTCTTCACGATTGTGGAGTCAGACATACGGTTCCAATGCTCTTGCCTAGGTTCTCTGGTCCAACAGTCTCCACCAGGAGAGCCAACCCAACTGTAAAAGATTAGTTTTCATTACAAGAACAAATTGGCGCGAGCACTCACCGGTCCATACGATACCACTACTAGCTCCTTGAAGACATCGAGCAATGACGAGCACCGCGACGGACTGGCCAAAAGCGAGGAGGACAGTAGCGAGAGCGAGAGCAGCTAATCCGCACAGGAAGGGTAACTGCCGAGATGAAGACATTTTGTCCGCGAGCACGCCAGCAATCGGAGACGCTATCATAGAGGCCGCGGCGTATGCTGCGAGCATAGCTGATACTACACTTTGGATTTGGGCGGGCGGTGTGTGTACACGCTCTTCCAGCATGAATGGCAGCACCGGCACAATCAGGCCGTAAAGGAACATGTCTGTAAACATGCCCACACCGACCGTCGTGATGATGAAGGCGGTATTGGACCGCCATTTGAGCCCAATTGGAGGCTTATTGGGCTCATGGCCGAGAGGGAAATGTAGCTGCTTGAGCTTTCTCCATGACGATGCCGACAAAGAGCTGACAGATGGATTTGGTGAAAGGGACATGACGAGGCCTGTGGTGTTGATCGTGATAGTAATGCTCCCCAGCTCTTTCCAACACAATATAACTCTCAACACTGAAGTCAGTTTGTGATGCCCATAACAAAGCCCTTCAGACTATCATTTCTATGACGACGACGCTTCGGTCGTTAATGCGGTCACTCGAGGATGCTTAAAATGACACGAGAACAAAGATGACAAGAGCGACAGAGAGTGAAGTTGAAAGACGCAGATATGAGATGTGTGGGCGGCGTCTTTGAAGGGTGCAGTTCGTGGGGTGGTGGGGAAACCCTTGGGCCAACAGCCGACGCGTGGGCGTTTTCTTTATCACGTCGTTGGTGACTCTTCCTGCCCGAGATCGGCTGCAGTGACCTCCTTCAGACTTACTGACATATCCGAAGGCTTCACCTGCAGTTCGTCTGCAGAGAGAGTCGCCATTGGGTGCCGAAGTATTGCTTTTGGAATGAGGCTTGTACCCTCACCGAGTTTTGGTCGCTCTGTTGATGCTTGCTTGATAATGTATGAGGTGCTCGAACGAGATTACCAGTCGGCCAATTGAATCAGTCTCCAGCTCATCTAGATTTTCGAGAACTGGTCAAACAATCTACAGCAATTGTGCCTTAGTGTAGCAATATAACATTGATAGAAAACATGCCAGAAGAATGTGAAACATTCACCCACGATGCCCAATATGGTCTAGCGTAAAGCACATACCATTACTTCCTAGCGCCAAGTCCTCGACATCAATTCGGAGCCTCACCTCGAAGCTGCCCTCAGAGCTATACAACCATGGCCGCCGTACAGCAACCAGGCGGTGATCCGCCCATATCTACGTTCGTAACCCCTCTGAAGCTACAGAACCTCCATATTTCATTGCAACGCTGCTAACTAGGCTACAGAGTCTACGTACGTTCACCATCCCACACCCCACCAAACCCCCTCTGACCATACTCCCAGGTCCGAAACCTTGAAGAGCGCATAAAGATTGAGCCGCTTAAAGAAGCGCTCCATGAGATTTTCAGCGATTTCGGCACGATCATCGAGATTGTTGCAAAGACGAGCTTGAAGCGCAAAGGACAGGCATTCATCGTGTTCGAGGACCCAGAAGCAGCGGCGGAGGCGATAAATGCTGTGCAGGGCTTTGATCTGTTCGACAAGCCAATGCAACTGGAGCTGGCGAGGACGAGAAGCGATGCTACGGTCAAGAGGATAGGGACAGAGGAGGACTTCGAGGCCCACAAACGTAGGAGGCTCGCTGAGAAAGGTACGTTCGCAGATCTACACGATCGATTGTTACAGACGTGCTAGGATATTGCTAACTTATGACTGTCCAGATCTCAAACAAGCCCAAGAAGCCACAGAGGCACAAAAGACACGTCCAGCTGGCGGCGCAGAGCCAGGCCAGAAGCCAGCTCGTGGTCCCGCGAAGCCGGCCGGCGGTATTCCAGACGAGTACCTACCTCCGAACAAAGATCTCCTTGTCCGGAATCTGCCAGACGAGTTCGACGGCGAGGCGTTCAATGGCATTTTCGAGAATTTCGATGGATTCAAGTCTGCAACTTACGTGGCTGGAAGGAACCTGGGTTTCGTCTATTTCGAGAGCGAGGCGCATGCAATCACGGCGAAGGAGAGGACAGCCAACCTGCCGGTGGGAGAGGAGGGCAAGCCGATCATGGTCACGTATGCAAAGGTGTAGACGGTATGGTGTCATCCTGGGCGTTATGGCTTACGAAAATGGGACGGCATTATCCTCAAAGTAGCTTGAGATATCCTGCCTTGCAGAGGCACATGGCGGCATTTCAGACGTCGAATTGAGACATGATACATTTTGGTATTCTGGTGATTACAAGGCCCAAGGAACGCCTACCAATATTCCACGGAGAGCTAGGAGAGAACACTAAAAGATTACATCCTCGTTGTCCTTGTCCCCTAGGAGGTCTTCCGAATCGGCAGTATCCTTTGCAGCCCGTGTCGGCAGATCTACATTCTCTTTGCCCTCGGCTGCGGCCAGGGCAACCTCCCTCTCCTTCTCTCCCGCTGCTTGATCTCGCTGCTTCTTGCCCGAGACCTTCTTCAGCCTGTAAAACTCCTCTCTGTCCAGCTCGTCAAGCTCTGAGTTGATGTACTTGATGGTGTTTTCTGTCCGCGGAATGATAACGTGCTCGCTGGAAAAAGCAAAATCAGCTCCATTCTCAATTGGCAAAAGAATGAATGATACTGACATGGCGTTCACTCTCCGGTTCACCACCTTGATGACTTCGTCTAAGATGACGAATGCGGTCTGCAGACTGGCCAGCTCCACCAGCGTTTCCACTGCTCGTGCATATGTCTCCCTACACCTCTGGACTTGCTGGCCGCCTTTGCCCAAACCCGTCAAGCCAAAATCATTACTACCTTCGACTGTGAAGCTCTCAAACTGGGGCAGAAATACACCCGAGACGTTCTCCTGCTTCGTCCGTACGCGGAACTTGGCCGACTTTGCGGATTCCTGTATCTGGTATCCAATGTCTCCACCGACGGCGTAGGTCACTTCGGCCAGCGAGAAGGCGGCAATGGACATGACCCGGCCCATCTTGCGCTTCGCCTCGTCGATGCGGCGCGTGATTTCTGCAGACTTGTTTCAGCATGCGGCGTCAGTAGTTGGAGGAATGTCGGCCGACCTCGAAAGCGCCTACGCAGGAGTTAGCTAGCTTCGAAACGTCTGAGATACAAGAGGCGTACTTTGTCAATGCCTCGCTCTTCCGCTTCAGCAGGTCGTGCCCCGTCTGCGCGCCCTTCAGCTTGCTCTTCATCAGCCCCAGCGATTGCCGCGTGGGGAAGACAGCTTCGCGCGCCTGCACCCCTCTATCAGCTCTTGCGTGCAGCTCGCGCAGTTTCCGGGCTACATACCCCGCTGCCCGACATCTTTGAACAGGCGCTCGGAAGCACTCAACAGGCCAGGCGCTGGCTAGAGGAGGACACGGGCGAAGGAGGCTGGGTGGCCGAGGGAGGGACTGCTATTGATGTGTAGCTAGCCCTGGGTGACGGTGTTGGATTGTGGATAGTCGGCCCATGCTCCACTGCGCAAGTCGAACGGCGCAACGCCGCCGTCTCACCAATCAACATAAAGTGGCAGTCTATCTGCACTCCGTGCGAGGTGGCCCAGAGAGCGGCCAGGCTTGTCCAAAAACTGTGTCCTCCAGGTTCGCAGTACGTATCAAAGGGCCTCAATCGGTGCTAGGACGTCCACACAACCCAGGTTGAGCGTGTAATCAATGTGTAGCAGATTCGTGACTGCCACTTGTTGCTCAAGGGCGCCTGCCAATCAGCGCCCGCGCGGCTCTCCGACACCTCAGAAAACGCAGCGCCCGCTCGATTACACCTCACCGCCGGCTGCATCCCTCTCTCCACCACCAACGCCCTCGCTGGCCTCCCCCCAGTGCAGGCCCTTCACCATTCTCTCGGACGATGCCCGGGGAGCTTCTGCGCACCGTGGTGACCGCCGTGACCGCCAGCCCCCCGCGCTCCAACAAACGCAAGACGGCCGCGACAATGGCCGCCAAACCCGACCTGTACCTCGTCTCGGACACCGATCAGATCTACGAGCAAGACATCGTCCGCAGTCCGGGCAGCATCAAGCCATGGCTCGCCTACGTCGCCTACAAACGCCAGCACACCAGCCTGCTTGAGACGGCCTTCGTTCTCGAGCGCGCTTGCACGACTCTGCCGCGATCCTACAAGCTGTGGAAGATGTATCTCGAGCTCCGGACCAAACACCTCGAGCGCAAGAACCCCGCCAAGTTTGCGCCGCACTATGTCAAGGTCAACGCCCTGTTTGAGCGCGCATTGGTGCTCTTGAACAAGATGCCCAAGATCTGGGAGATGTATCTGTCCTTCCTCATGCAACAGCCACTCGTTACCACCACCCGGAGAACCTTCGACCGCGCCCTCCGCGCGCTTCCACTCACTCAGCACAACCGGATATGGGCCTTGTACCGGCCGTTCGCGAACTCTGCCTCCGGAGAGACAGCCGTGCGGATCTGGCGGCGCTACATGCAGATACACCCGGAGCACGTGGAAGAATTCATCGAGTTGCTGAAGGATATGCGGCAATATACCGAAGCCGTCAAGAAGTACATGGAGATTCTCAACAACCCGCGTTTCAAGAGCAAGGAAGCCAAGGGACCCTTCCAGTTCTGGACCGAGATGCTCGAACTTCTCATCGACCACGCGAAGGAGATCGAGACTGGCGACGATACTGGGATTGATGTGGAGAAGATTATCAGGAGTGGCATCGCGCGTTTCTCCGATCAACGAGGAATATTATGGGTTGGACTCGCGCGGTATTGGATCAACAAGGGCGAATATGAAAGAGCCAGGGACGTCTTCGAGGAGGGCGTCACCACCGTCATGACCGTGCGAGATTTCTCCATCGTATTTGACACATATGCCGAAGCCGAAGAGAGCCTTATCGGAATCAAAATGGAGGAAGCGGCCGCGCGTTCCGACAAGGGCAAAATTAACGAAGACGCAGACGACGATCTCGATATCCGGCTAATGAGGTTCGAGCAACTCATGGACCGTCGGCCATTCCTTGTCAACGATGTTCTTCTCCGTCAAAACCAGAGCAACGTCAACGAGTGGGAAAAGCGCGTGGCTCTTTGGGGCGACAACAAGAAAGAGGTGGTGCAAACGTATACCGACGCAATCGCCGCAATCAAGCCTAAGAAAGCCGTGGGCAAGTTCCACGAGCTATGGGCGAACTACGCCAAATTTTACGAGAATGGAGGCGATCTTAGGAACGCTCGTGTCATCATGGAGAAGGCCGTCAAAGTCCCATACAAGTCGGTCGCTGAACTTGCCGATATGTGGTGCGAGTGGGCGGAAATGGAACTCAGGAATGAGAACTTCGACCGCGCAGTTGAAATCATGGCCAAAGCGACCCAAGCCCCGAAGAGGTCAAACGTGGACTACTTTGACGAAGAGCTACTGCCGCAACAACGTGTTCACAAGAGCTGGAAGTTATGGAGTTTTTATGTTGATTTAGTGGAAAGTGTCAGTACGCTCGAAGAAACGAAAAAGGTCTATGAGCGTATCTTCGAACTACGCATCGCCACGCCGCAGACAGTTGTCAACTACGCCAATCTGCTCGAAGAGAACCAGTACTACGAGGACTCATTCAAGGTTTATGAACGCGGTCTGGACTTGTTCAGCTATCCTGTTGCGTTCGAGCTGTGGAATCTTTACCTCACAAAGGCGGTCGATCGGAAAATTGGTATCGAGCGTCTTCGTGATCTCTTCGAGCAAGCCGTGGAAGGGTGTCCGCCCAAGTTTGCGAAAGTGCTGTACCTAATGTACGGCGCGTTGGAAGAAGAGCGAGGATTGGCCAGGCACGCCATGCGGATCTACGAGCGGGCGACTCGTGCTGTCTCGGACGAAGACCGCATGGACATGTTCAACTTCTACATCACTAAGTCCGCTTCGAACTTTGGGTTGACCTCGACTCGACCTATCTACGAACGTGCCATCGCGGCGCTGCCAGACAACGAGGCGAAGGAAATGTGTCTCAAATTTGCTGAGATGGAGAGGAGGCTGGGCGAGATTGACCGTGCAAGAGCCATTTACGGCCACGCCAGCCAGTTCTGCGATCCGAGGACGAATCCAGTGTTCTGGCAGAAATGGGAGAGCTTCGAGGTGCAACACGGCAACGAAGACACGTTCAAGGAGATGCTGCGTGTCAAGAGAAGCGTGCAAGCGCAGTACAAGTACGCAGTCCCGTCTTACCATTCGATTTATGCTCATCATACTAACGTTCCACAGCACCGACGTCAACTTCATCGCTTCGCAAGCCCTCGCCCGGAGTCAGCTACCAGCCGACGCCGACACCAACGGCGACGAGGCAGACAAAATCGACGCCATGGCAGCGCTCGAACGACAAGCCCGCGCTCCACAGGGCTTTGTTGCCGCCAGCACAGGCCCCGAAGTCAGCAAAATCAACGGCGCACAGGCAGTGCAACCTGTCGTGGCCTCCAATCCCGACGCCATTGACGTTGATGATGACCTATAACGCCCTTTCCAACCATGGGCGTCCGAATACAGCAGATATTCTTGTGTGTGTGTGCTCCACTCGACTTCTCAAGCATTGCTATGGTGTTCTGGCGTGTCATATCTTGACTTGACTTCAGATTCTGGAGTTGTAAACGTACGTGCCTGAACGGCTCATTTCATTTCTCCTTTGTGTTTTGATTTTGATGCCCAGATTTGGTCCTTCCTTTCAAGTATGATGTCTCTTTACTCTCAAACTTTGGGTCCCCGGTGGCTCCTAACTGCATTTCCTGGGCGTTGGATGCATGGGCTCGGTTGAGCGATTTGCTGGCCGGATGGGATGATTGGGATCGATTGATGGGGCTGTGCCATTGAGTGGTATAGCGAGGTCTCCTTTGGAACTCCTTGGCCTGCGGCTTTTTCCTTGTGTTTGATAAATGGAGAAAATGTACAAGTGGATGATGTTTGGTGGTTGCTGCGGTAGGAGAAGGCTGATGGGGAGGAAAAAGAGGGATTGATTCTACACTACACTACACAACTTCACATATCTTCTTTGCGACGGATACCAAGATCTAAAATTCACAAAATAAGTTCAGTGGGTTTTCAACACGGCTGTGTATGGCGATTCTGTTGACGTCCTCGTGCTGCTATCAGGCCGCTTCAATGGCTTACCGGAGAGCTGGCACCGCAGCTGGGCATGCCTCTGCAGGCTGCAGCCAAGCTCGACCTCCGATGTCTTCGCTACTCTACGCGAAGGCTAAGGGCTTGACCCGCGTCAAACCGTGGTTCTGTATGCCTCTTGACGGCCTACTGCCAAGAGGCCATGGGAAAGAGCTACATGCTGCGCCTCCACAGGCAGAGCATATGGAGATGTAAGACACTGCTCAAATCACGAGTAGTGGCTTCACATGGCTTCGGGTACTAGTTTATCGCGCAGTGGATACCGCTCAGCATCTGTATATACTTTTACACCAAGGTGTAGACTACTCGAACCATACGTAAAGTAGTTACATCGCACCTTCACATGAATGTCACCCACCGTCTGTCTCACACCCAGCTCTATCGACAACACACGTACCTAGGGAGCTCGCCATCGCCAAGCCTGGTCTTGCTTCTTCGCTTACCTACCTTTCGCAGGCTCCAATTGGCACCGCATGCCCTACCTAGCAGGGCGTGTGTCTTATCGACGGCGTTGTCCGATGGACGCCCCTGGTTAATAAAATAACGAGTAATGATATGGCGATAGGCGGCATGGATAGCTGCACATCCATCTGCCGGCGCTGTGTGCACGCAGTTCTGACACCAACATGAGCTCAAACCCACCAATGCACGATGGTGTAGTCCTGATCGATGGTCATCCCGATCGTCTGTCAGTAGTGGTAGATTGAGCCCTGGTATGGGCTTGGTTGGATTTGGCTTTGCCTGGGATGGTGTGGTCGCGGTAGGGCCTCCACTTAACCATCACTCAAACCTTCTCAGCTGTTTCAGAGAGCATGTTTGATCGCGTAATGAAAAGAGGAGTTGCCGGGTCGACCAAATTTGACAGAGTGAATGCACGGCCCTCCTCATGGACTCTAGACCTAACCTAGAAACGTGCGTCGCGCCTAGACCTCCCCTCTGCAGCCCGCTTCCCCACACCCTGGCCCGGCCGATCAGCAACTCCATCGTCCCTCCATGGCTACCTTGAGACGCCATGCTCGCCGTCCCAGCAACTCCTCGCGAGGCAGTGCACCCCCTCGGCCAACCACGGCTGCTGTCACACCCCCTTCCGCGCGCCACTCTCCGAATCGCAGCACGAGAAACGCTGCGCTGACGTCGCGGTGCCAATTGGAACAGAGAGGTAAACCAAGAGCCGTTCCCAGAGATGGCTGCAGCGAGGGGTGACTAGTGAGAGGGGTGGGCGCGTCATGTGCGAGTATCTGAGGCGCCCCGGCGCTGGGCCTTGACGTCGTTGGCCGATGGGGAGCTGATGGCGAGGAGGGGCGTGGTAGGCTTTCTTTGTTATATTTGGGCCGTGGGCGTGCCTGGAGTGGTCTACCCCTCTTCTTTTCAATCAGCTTCAATCCTCAACGAACTCGCTCATCTACCAATCTATCTCCATAAGCATATACTTTATTTGATACCCGGCTACGGCAGTGCATTGAGCGAGATAGCTGTCATCATGGCTACGGAAACTGCTGCCTCTGGTATGTTGCCTCGAGCGCTCTTTCTATACTTTCATGATCTTTTGAGGACCACAATCCATCATGCACCTCTTCATCGTCACCTCGCGAAATCATCTACCCTACCTCCCTCCCCTCTTGCTCGATTTGTCGTACCTATAATTAGTCCTCTCATCTCCCACCCTCTAACATCCCCCCTCTAGGCATCGATGCCACACCCACCAACAACCCCTCCGTCGAGTCCAAAGACCCCTTCGCCTCCTCCCGCACCACCGACAACGACCCCTTCGCCGGCGACAAGCTCGGCGACCTCGCCGGCTCCGACGACATGGGCCTCTCCTCCTCCCCGCCCGCCGCGTCGCGAGACCGCCGCATGAGCAAGGAGTGGGACGCTAGCAAGGTGCCGCCGTCACGGTTCCAGAAGCGCGAGGGGAGCATCTACAGCACGCCGAATTCGCGGGACGCGCATGTCAAGGGGGCGTCGAGGGATCAGGCGTACCATGACAAGCTGAAGGAGAAGGTGAGCCATACCACTACCACCCCTCTTGTAACAAGCGAGGGGATCTTGAAAGGAGGAATTTGCTAACAGGTGATGTAGGGCTGGGCCCAGAAGATTACCGGGGGGGCGAAATAACCATACTTGAGCGATGGGATCAGTGGGCTGCGGGAGGGGGGTTTGTGTAAAGGTACTGGGTGGAAACTGTCATATCGGGATGAATCGGTCTTATGAGCGCGGGGATGGGGGAGTCTGGTTATTCCGTGTCTGCGATAGCCGGGATAAATTGAATGCGTTTTCTACTCTACTCCGCTTACTATAAGTCTGCGTCTTCTGCTTTTGAATCTGCCACACTAAGAATACCTAAGCGCTGTGTATCGGATACTCATACCAAGAGCATGACTAGTTTCGGGGGTCATATGCACGTTTCCTTCCCGTCATGCAAGTCCCCGTAGCCCCTTTCCACCGCTCCTGGGACGAGACTTGTTTGCTCCCCACCTCGAAGTCCCCCCTTGGGTTATCTACAGCACAATTTCCACCCAGTCTCCAGGAAAGCTTCTGCTGCAACCAACCAGCCTGTAGCGATGAAACAAGCAAGCAAACTCAGGCCAGCTTAGCTCAGTGGTGCCAAACCGCGAAGGGGCCAGGACAGCTCGCCGCCGTCTGCCTGCGTTAGCGGGTGGACTCTTTCCTTTTGCTGGTTTGGGGGGCGGGTGGCTGCGTAGAACTCACCGCTGGTTGCGGGCGGAGGAGGGAGGGGGGTTCGATCGTTAACGTGACTATGTATCTTTTTGGCATTGGGATCTGTTAGAATAGAGTACTGTAGAAAATGGAGGGCAAGGAACTGTGACTTGCATTGTTCATGATATACATGACTTGAATAAGCCATCATGAACTGCCGTCCCTTATCTCCAATTTATTTTACTACCCCTTTCTTCCCAACCCATATATACCCAACAATTCCGCCCCATCACTCAGGAAAGTTGCGGACTTCTATCCGTTCGGCCAGCTGAGTCCAATAGGCTAGGACGCTCGCCACCGTCCCCACTGCGCTTCCCACTAGTAGTGCGGACCCTTTCCTTTTTGCCGTTTTGGGGTTCGGGAGTGTGCAGAAGGTACAGCGCTCTTCTCTCTCTTCTCTGCCGAAGGTCGATTGGTCGAGGAGGGACGGGGTTGGAATAAGAATTCGTTTTGCTTAGGATGGATACTTTTCCTTAAGTATATACATGTGAGAGAATAGATGAGATCATCAGTTGGTCTAGTATAGATGTGACTTCAACAGGTGAACACAATTTTGTACCTCCTTTATGTCCGTGGCCATATACCCAACAACCTAAGGCTCCTCCTTCAGCCAGAAGGCAGACCAGATAGATGGGTGTGCATTGTCCGATTTCGAAACGGGTCCCTGAAATCGTGGTGTTGAGGTTCCGAGTACGTGAGGAGAACTACACAGTGGTGATGAGATATTCACCGAATAGAATAACGTAGTTCACTGGCTAGTGGTTGCCCCTAGCTAGTAGTTGCCCCCACCAAATTCTCGCAGCCAAAAACGCGAATTACACAACAACGAACAATCGTATTATATATAGCTATCTACTAGCTAGTTGCCTGCCGTCTAGGGCACGTACGTGCGTTGTGTTCTAGTGAACTGCACATACTGCACTTAGGTGGTGCTCGTTGCCGTGGCCCGGCCGCTGCCTCTGCTACCACCTCTGCTGCCACCTCCTGGCCAGTAGATGCACGAGAGGTCCCTTCTACGCCTGATAGCACTCCCCCCCTAGCTATATAGGTGCGCTTCTGTGCCCTCTTCCTTTTCTGGCGTTGATTCTCTGCCTGTAGCCTCTTAACTTTGTGGGCAAGTAGGGTAACCTTTGACATCGCCAAGCTGGCCAAGGGCTCCTTCTGTTGGACTTGGTGGGCTATGCGTACAGCGCTTAAGATAGCGTCTTATTAAGGTCGTCTGCTGCTGTAGCTCAGTAATAGTGTGTAGTGTTTCGGCTGCCTAAAATGTATTTAATAGTGGACGGGCCGGTGGCGGTAGTGTCTAATATTTGGCATACAGCTGTGCCAGCACATAATCTGGATCATATAGAACCAAACCAGTGGCTGCAAAACCTACCTGTATATTGGATTGATGCAGAGCTGTTGGCCTGGCCTGCCTGTATAACGGTAGGAATTTGTGTTTATTAATATAATTGACGCCGCCGGCTATTATCCGTTCAACGCCGTGTCCGTAGGCCTGCTTCAGCGCCGAGAAACAGCCCACATTAAGCGGCTGAAGCAGATGCGATAAATGTGCTGGCATACAGATAATAATAATCTTATAATCTAGGGGGCTACTAATCGCACACCCCCTTTTCACTAATCGCACACCCCCTTCTCACTAATCGCACACCCCCTCCC